CGGAGAAGTGGTGCCTCGATGCGCACCCGGGATCCGAACCCGGGCCACCAGCATCGCAGCGCGCGCACTTAACCACCAAGCCACAGGGCCGGCCCTAAACCTACAGATGCTTTTGGATCCAATAATTTAAATAACTCTTTCCCCAAACTTCTGCCAAATTGTATAAATACTTCATATCATTTATAACTATATGAAAAATAAATATATGATAATGTGATTTTTTTTTAAACAAACCTGAAATTATATATTTAATGATGATACCTTCAAAGCTGCCACCCTGGGAGGCTACACACTTATTTTAATGTTGCCTGTCCTCTCAAACATTTTTGGAAGATTTTTGTAATTGCCTTCAGATCCTGTGGCATGATCCTTTCTGGCACACCATTATTTTTTGAAGGTACAGTTAACTGTACATGGTCAGAAGTCTTTCTGGAACCACATTCAATTATTCAAGTGGGTTTACCAAACTACTGCTTTCTATCTTGAAGGATATAGATCTATGATGTTGACAGTCTTCTTGTGTGGCCCTGAAAACAACTCCAAAGGAGAGTTCTAAAAATATTTTTAACCAATATTTTTGGAATATGTGTCAAGCTCTGAGTTCTAGACTGCTTATGGGGGGCAGGGGTTAAGTTGCATTACTTTATACTCATGCTTTTTCAGTCAAATAGCCACCACCCACTTTATTATAGAATTTTTCAGTATTTCATACAGGTACATCATTTATTAAGATTTTTCTATGTCTCTTGGCTTTAAAATATAAGAAACTTTTATATTTAAAATCAAAATATATAATATGTAATATAAATTATATAATATATAATATATAAAATATATTTATTTTATATTAAGATAAATACATAATATAAATTATATAATGTATTTTATTTGGGAGGATATTTCATATCTAAACTAATCAACCAACAAATACTAACCATTAGTCAATGTTTAAAGTAGGGTGGGATAACATTCTGGTTTTTTAGATGGACTTAAAGCAATTTTACCTTTTTTTTTCAGATGACAAACTATCCAGAACTTTCTCACATTGGATTCTTTAACAATAAAATACAAATAAATCACTGTGTCTTTGGTTCAGTCAAACTGGCTTCTAACTAAGGTCTGTATGGCCTTCAATCCCCACTAATTAGGGAAAACTCCAAACAATCTAGAAAGCACAGACCAGGCAACCTGAAGCAGTCTAAACTTTGCTATCATCTACGTTTCAAGTCTACTCATAGGTTAAAAAGACCCTGCCACAGAAGAAGCTGGGATTGCCAACTCCTCAGGTAAATGAATGAGGCCTCAGTTTACGGTGAGGATCCAAGACGGGCAGAGAGGGTGGGAAGAGAACTTATTAATAGGAGGGTGCGATGGTGGGGAAAAAAATTCAGTGATCACTGGTGGAAACTACAGCATATTTTTGTTACCAGGCTTTCTTGTGGCCTACCTGCAAACCCATAATTAGGTGGAAAAAAGCATATAAATATACACATCACACATGCTAAACAAGTTTAAAAGTTTAGAATTTCATTTAAAAACAATTAGTTTTAAAGATAAAAACTAATAAAAATATAAAGGGGTCATAGTGCTGCTATTAAATCTTAGGTACAATAATATTTATTGAGCACTATGTGCCTGGTATGTGCTAAGTAAGTGCTTAATATATTCTTTCATTCATTCCTCACAACAATCCCAAAAGCAAGGTATTGATATCTTCCGATAAAGATGAGGAAACCGAGGTGTAGAAGCCCAAGGTCCTGCTGCTAGCATGCAGCAAAAAGCAGGGTTTAAACCCAAAGCCTGGGGCCAGCGTGGTGGCGCAAGTGGTTAAGTGCGCACGCTCCGCTGCGGCGGCCTGGGGTTCGCCAGGTCAGATCCCGGGCGTGCACCGATGCACTGCTTGGTAAGCCATGCTGTGGCGGCGTCCCATATAAAGTGGAGGAAGATGGGCATGGATGTTAGCCCAGGGCCAGTCTTCCTCAGCAAAAGAAAAAAAACAGGAGGATTGGCAGATGTTAGCACAGGGCTGATGTCCTCACAAAAAATAAATAAATAAAATAAATAAATAAAATAAAAAACCCAAAGCCTATGATTTAATAAGATTACATAACTACTCATTTTACATTTATCTATAGAAATATTAAACTAACTTGTAGTATTCAGAGGCAGTTTCAAATTCTCCAAGAAATATATATGCATTTCCAAGGTTGCTATATGCTCTTCTTTCAGCTGCTTTATCTCCAAATTCTTTTGCAATAAGGAGACGCTGAAACAGAAAATTTTAATTAGATACAGCTATAATAAAAACTAAAGAATAATCTAATCACTGTTCAAACCACTGATGGGGATATGACCTGCACTGTACCTGCTCATGAGCTATAACAGCATCCCTGAAGTTGCCAAGGAGGTAATGTGTGTTTCCAAGATTTCCAAAGGCACGTCCTTGGGCTGCTCGGTCACCCAGAGCAGTCACTAGTGATAGGTTTTCCCTAAGAGATACAAACAGTTGTGAAAAAATAAGTTTGAGAAAAAAATTTATTGATAAGAACAAAATTGATTTGATTTACAAATCTAACTCTTTTTACCAGAAAAAAAAGTTAAATAAGGGCCGGCCCCGTGGCTTGGCGGTTAAGTGCGTGCGCTCCGCTACTGGCGGCCCAGGTTCGGATCCCGGGTGTGCACCGACGCACCACTTCTCCAGCCATGCTGAGGCCATGTCCCACATACAGCAACTAGAAGGATGTGCAGCTATGACATACAACTATCTACTGAGGCTTCGGGGAAAAAAAAGGAGGAGGATTGGCAATAGACGTTAGCTCAGAGCCGGTCTTCCTCAGCACAAAGAGGAGGATTAGCATGGATGTTAGCTCAGGGCTGATCTTCCTCACACACACAAAAAAAGTTAAATAAGCTTTCAGCCATAATGTGCCACATTTTAAAAATACATCCATGATGGAGGGTGATTATAGGAAATAGCTGGGAACACCTGACTGAACCATTCAGGTAGGTTTCTGCCCAGGGTCAAGGACACAGCTAATCTTGGAACCCCTATAGCTAAGAAGTTCTATGAAATTCTATTGATAAAAGACTAAATTTACTCCAAATAACTTAGACTAACCATTGATATTTCTTTCTTTTGCCACTAAGTGGCACTGGTCTGCAGTTTAAATGAAAGCTTTCCTGGGGAAAGAATTACCACTAATACAATAATACAACATTCCGGCGACGATTTGATGATTTAGTTTTAGTTACTAGTCCATAACTTTAAAACCTTTGCCAAACTTAAAAACTTAGTACCAGATACAGAATGTATAGTAGATCCCCAGCTTAGGTGGGCCACATGACTGCATCACTGCTACTCACTCATAATAATCCACAGCTGCCTGCAGAGCGTTTCTCACTTCTTCTGGAAATTCTCCTACATCCTGAGGACCAGGGCAGCCAAAACTTTTCCCTTTGGCGTGATACACATTTCCAAGATTGTAAAGTGCTCTTGCTTCTCCCACCTAAATGAAGATAACAGCAGAGTTTACATTGTAAAATCAGAGGACAGGTATTATAATATTTATCACACATATTTATTTGTAATATCCTTGATATTATGGTCAAAAGAGGGAAATGTTTGCATTGGCCATCCATACAGAACCGGACGAATGATTACTTAATGAAAGAAGGGCCTCTCACTATTTCCTTTTTTTCCTCTATTTTAATACTTTTATGATGTTTCTCTTTTTCTTCTATTTTTCTATGAGTATTTTCTTTTTTGGTATTAACTTTTAGATAAACTACAGAATAATGAAATAGAATTAAAACATAAAGCAATTTCAATGAAAACAGTTGGCCTACTATATAACGTTTCCTTATTACCTTGTCATTAAGCTCTCTGGAAATGTCCAGGTGTCGCTGACAACAAACTACAGCTTCATCAAAATTCCCAAGGACCTTTAAGGTGTTCCCCAGATTACCACTAGCTTTGGCCTCCCCCAACTGGTCTCCAATAGTCCTGAAAAAAAGAAAAGCAAATGGTGTTAAAAAGAAGCAGCCAGAGCACATTTTTCCCTAGAGGACAACGGACACGCTTAAGGTAAGAAAGACCCATTAGCCTTGAAACCTACTTTAAATAAAAATTTAAAACTTCCATTTCTGTATTTAGATTTAATTAATGTTTCATTCATTTAATTAAACTCTAGGATCATTTCACTACTATTCATTCATTTAATTCAACTCTGTGTTCAGCCTAAAGATTAGTTTTAAAATGTAATGCTATTGAATTAGAACTCACTAAATGTATTTAGTTTTTTTAACTGAATGAAAATATTTTTAATTTAACTGAATGAAAATATTTTTTAAAGTGACAGTTAATTTAGGAAGAAAGAGTATTAAAAAACTTAATTACCTTGCAAGAGTTAAATCATGATGATGGTATTCTAATGCTTTGGCATAATCATGCAAATAAAAATAAGCATTGCCCAGCTGGCTGTAAATAGCACTCAGTGTTTTTAGGTCTTCAGTTCCAACTTGAACTGCAGCTTCAAAGAAGGACACACCAGCACGGCAGTCTCCTAATTTACACAGACGTTCCCCCTCCAAGGCAAGTTCTAGACAAGAAGCTTCCATTCTATAAAATTATACAGGACAGACATTACAACATTACATTACAACTGCATCACAGTGTTTTTAACTTCAAGTAATATAATTTAAATGTGGACTGTGGCTACTCTGGCTCAGAACAGCTGCCTCTATAATTGAAGTATACACACATCATTGATAAAACGGTAAACTATTATTTATAGCAAGACCTAATTTGCCTATTAAAGTGTCTCTGAGCCTCAGAGGTCTTTTATATAGGATAGCTAAATATATCTATATGGAGCCCATTTTATTTTATTTTATTTATTTATTTTTTTT